CTGACCTACACTAGTACTTACCCATGTAAGTAGTCCAGTTGACTTCAATAGGTCTACTCCTCCCTAAGTACTACTCAGCAAGTTTAAGATGTGGAATAGTGGGCACTGGGGAGGAAGAACACAAACATTAAAAAGTGCTCAATTATCTTAAAACAACTAACTTCCACAATTAACTCTTGCACACGCCCAGCAGCAGGAGGTGAGATATTATATTCATCCTGATTGTTCTTTACTCAGAAATGTAAGTACATCATAAACTACTTACAAAGAGTCAGACTATCTAGCTTTTTCTCATTATTATTAGTATTCTGTATTATCATAGTGCCTAGCAGTCCTAGCTATGAACAAGCAGCAGCGTGCTAATAGCTGGGAAAGAGGCTGGCAAAGAGGCTCTGAGCCTTCCTAGCTGTTGCCTGGAGTGTATCTCTGTTGCTGCAGATCAGAACATAGGATTGCCATTGCATAAGGGATGCATGACTGGGACTGTCCATTCTTTTCATTACATGTGCTATACATATGTTGGGGGTAAAGGGAGTTTTGTCTCTTGTAACATAGTATGGATAATACAGGTCTGTGCATGTGTATTTCCAGATGCAATGCAGAGCCTTAAACACAAAGTAGCTTCAACTAGGGCCTAATCCTGCTCCCTATTAAGTCAATGGCAAAATTCTCAGCTTTAATGGAGAAGGACTTGGTTCATAGCAAAGAGCCATTCCTAGCCAGCAGGCAACCTGATTTTGTGACAGCCCCATGATCTCAACTGCAGCAGTATTTGGACAGGTCAGGCAGTAAGTGGAAAGTCTTGGAGCAATTCTATGTTCCCATCAGTCCATGGGCCAAATTCTCTGCTGCATGGCGCCTGGTGGAGTTATTTACACCTGTTCAAAGCAGGTGTAAAATGCTACCAAATCAGAATTATAGGGCTGCCTCTCATGTTGTGTCACCACTTACACCTGAATAGAATGGCTGTCAAATGCTATCTTTCCGTTTCAGTAGCATTTTACAGCTATTTTGCACTGGTGTATCTGGTGACACCACAGTAAAGAATTGGGCCTAGTGTCTCTGGACTTTTAGCATAAATGAATCCTGGAAAGAGATGAGGTTTAACACCTCAATTTATATGACTGGCTTTGTTCCTTTTAGATAAAAATAGGCAGCCTACAATTTATTTGGCATCTCTTTTTGCTGCACTGATGAGCCTCTTTTGCCATGGGGTAAACAAGATGGATCAGATTCTGCAACCCTTACTTATGCTGAATAGCTCTTCCTCATTCATATAGTTCCACTGAAGTCAAAGAGACTACTCATGTAAGTGCTATTCAACAGATGCAGAATTTGGCCTTATTTGACTAAAGAAGTGACCAAGTCAGATCATGACCTGATTTTTGTTAATATGTCCTGCTCTTGGTTAAAGTGAAAGAATAACCAGTTTTCAAGCAACAGCAGCTGTGCAGCCAGAACCAGCATTCTGGACTAAAAGCACAAACTAAACTGTCTTAGTTCAAATAGTATGGACATCAGAAGGGAGGCTCTGAGCACCTTCATAACCAGTCTAGATTGGTATGTAAGGTTGCTCCTGTGCACAGCATATCCAGATAAGAAAAGGCAACTGGATATGCTGGTGGCATGCAGAGAGTTGGCAGATAGCTGTGACTACATTCCTGGTGGCCTTTAGGTGTTTTTCTAATTCAAGTTAGAGAAGATTTTGAGCTGTGCATGTTTTGGTCTTTTTTTAAATGTCAGTGCATATTTGTGCAGCACTGCAATTTTTTTAGCCTCTGGTTACTGTATGGAGTCACATTTTGCAAAATATAGTCTTTATACAGATCCTAGACAGCCAGGTGCATTATCTCTTTCATTCCAATTCATCTCGTTGACATATTATCTACTTGTTGGGTTTTTTTACATATGATATTTCTGCACACAATTTTAAATTCTTCCTGGTCTATCTCACTGATGGTTAGCAGGAGATGTACAATACAATAGTAAAATCTTGAAATGTAGGTATCACTAGGGCTCTAGCTGAAGGTAAACTGGAAGTGAGGGGAAATGATACATAGTATATTTGTTTATGGCCCCAATTCTTCACTGAGAGCTATGCAGGCAGACCCCTGCACCAGAGTAGAGCCTAAATGACATCAAAGGGTTTCTGGACAGAGCCATTTCCCTATATGGAGTCCCACTAACATATGGGATTCTGCATGAGCCAACACTTGTCCCAGGGTACCCTTCAGCACAAGGCTGTGCCTACAGGGTTCTCAGTGCAGGATCTGGGCCCACCTGAAGATAAGGGAAAGAAAGTTCCACTAATTAAATGTTTATTAATGAAGCATTTTTCCACCTTGTGCTCCTTCGTGTTAAGTAACAGGTAACAATTCTAGTGAGATATCATTTTCAGATCCAAAAATGGACAGAAACAGTAGGTAACTGTGCCCTAGTCTATCCATGGCAGGTTACTTTTCAGATGCATATTCCTTAATTCCTTCAATAAAGAACTAGACTGAAAAAAATTGCTGCAATATTTAGATCTCAAACCAAAATTATCTCTGTTTTTCTGTGCATCCTAAAATGCTCTTGGCTTAGGAAGAAATTTTCCATATGGGCAGGCTATTCTCCAACTGCCTTCTGCGGGGTTTCTTGCACCTTCCTCTGAAGCAGCTGGTACTGGCCACTGTCAGAGACAGAATACTGCACAAACTGGATCACTGGTCAAGTTCTGCAATTCCTATCTTCCTCAAAGGATTGGGGGGAGAGAGGGAGAATACTGTTGTAGTCAGCCTGGAAAAGAAAATCTGTTAAAATCTCCTGACCCATCCTAGCCCTTACAGGGAGATGGCAGAGAGCAAGTAAAGGAGTTGAGGGCATTTGCCTCCTGCTGTCCTACATACAGGAGGCCCATCTGGTTGCAATGCATAAAACATACATACATGCCTAAACCACACAGTGCAATACCTTCTATCATCCTAAGCAGAAGCAGGATGGAGCATCAGTTGCGTAAATGAATTGCAAAGTCATGTTTTCCCGTAAACAGAGCCACAATATTGGTTTCTTTTTTGGTAAACTAGGTATGTACAAAATGCTATGAGCACAGCCTAAAACTTCCGCATGTGCTGTTGTTAGTGCTCTGCGTTTGCTTGCTGCAGGATGTGTTTTTACTTTCCTTTTAGCAACACCCCTATGACAGCAACAGCCGTCCAGTCAGGGGATGGCTACAAATATGTGTATTGTATATAACTGTAAAACAGAATTCTGAAAATATATTTGCTTATTATATTTATATCAATTATTATTTACTGCTGTATCTGTTATTAAATCTGTAAAGCCCATTGAGATGAAAGATGCTATAAAAATAGTTTATTACCTGAAGAGTTTGGACAAAGCATAACCAACAAAACAAAGCCTGTTTGATTTAGTGGAATAAGCATCAGCTCTGAAAAACAGTGGGCCCAGTTTTCACATTAAAAGGCTGTCATGTTTGAAATTGGAACTCCCTGGACTCATAAATCCACATCCCATCAGGTCTGGTTCAGATCTTTCTGGGGCAGAGTGACTGTGTGGGTCTTTGGGGCAAGACTTTAAAAACTGTTTGTGTGTTCTCTGTGAGAACAATTAGAGCCAATATATTCAGAGGTCACTCATTTTGGGTTCTAAACTTTAAGATAGCTTATGCCTGATTTTTCAGAGGTGCTAAAACCCCACAGCTCCCATTATTTTCATCTGGAGTTGTGATAGGGTGACCAGATAGCAAGTATGAAAAATTAGGACAGGAGAGAGGGTAATAGTGTCCTATGCTGGGGGGGGGGGCGACGTGTGTGTGTGTGTGTGTGGGGGGGGTTAATAAGGTCCCATATAAGACAAATCCCCTAATATCGGGATGGTCCCAATAATATCAGGACATCTAGTCATCCTAAGTTGTGAGAACCAGCCCCTCAGAAAATCAAGTCCAAAATATTTCAAGATGGTCACCCAAAAATCAAAGCACCAAAATTGGAACATTTTTGGCTTCAAGATCCCATGGCCCTTTGTTGTAAGAGCAGGAAGTTTACCCTCGTATCTTAAAAGCAAAATTTCCTGTGCCAAATGTATTTGCCTTACTTGCTGCAGCCCTACCACCCAGCGGTGGCTGCTTTTGGTGGTGCTATACATCTATACTATATAGTTGAGGTACTTTACCATTCTTTGTCATTGCAAGGCACTCTCTATATAACAATCCCTGGATGTAAAGTATCAGAGGAGTAGCCGTGTTAGTCTGAATCTGTAAAAAGCAACAGAGGGTCCTGTGGCACCTTTAAGATTAACAGAAGTATTGTGAGCATAAGCTTTCGTGGGTAAGAACCTCACTTCTTCAGATGCACCATCCCTGGATGGTGGATGCATTTGTTTTATTTAGCAGTTTCATATCTCATGCATATGACTGCAGCTAGGGAAGGAGAGAAAGGACCGTAGGACTGCTATTCTAACACCTTAGCATTTATCCCCAGTCCCTAACTGAGTTGCAGCCCAGACTTCTCTTCCTCACAGCAACACAATAATTCCACCAGCACCATGGGTGGATGGGCCCCTCCTCCTTCACTTGCCTGAGCCCCTCCCCCTTCACTTGCTTGCGACAAGACACACCTCTCCAAAACTATTGGCTAGTTTCCCCCTGCTTATTTGCATAGCCTCCTCATCTCCAATCAGCAGCTGCTGACTGCTTAAAATGCATAAAGCCGGCCACTCAGTGAGGCTGGGGGCTGGGCCACCACGTGCTGTTGCTAAGCTTCGGCTTCTAAATTGTTACTGTAGTGGCTGACCTATCAGGGAGAAGATTCAGATCTGTCAACATTCTGTCTCCTAACCAGAGGGCGCTTGTCTGCTCTGATTGGCTCTACTTTAAGAATTAATCCCGCCTCTACCTAGAAATGCTGTCCATGATTGGCTATGCCAGTCGCCTGTCGCCTGTGTGTCAAATGTAGGTTGAGAGAGGTGGTTTATATAGGGGACTTGGAAGTCCCCAGCCTGTGAACTCAGTGCAGTTTTAATGCTCATTGCCTTCCTCAGCTGTTTGAAAGGCAGACACAGAGTTTGGGGGTAACTCAAAGAGCACACATAAAAATGGAGCTGAACTCTCTGTTAATTCTTCTGGAAGCAGCTGAGTATTTGGAAAGAAGAGACAGAGGTATTCAGAGAAATGACTAGCAGGCACTTCTAAACATTTCACTCTCTTTGTTGCGTGGGTATTCGGACGCCCTTTTCTCTGAGTCCATATTTCCTTCACCTGCAAAGGTGCCATGGGATTTAAACATGTTTTTGTCAGATGCATTGCAGGGGGCGGGGGGGAACAAATGCTATTTTCTTGCAAAATCTTTAAACAAACGAGCCCTGACTCGAGTCTGTTTGGATTGTATGTATGTTGCAGCATTCAGTATAGGTTACATTGTTGTGCATGTTGCCGTTTGTAATTGTATTGCCGTTTTCCTTTTCCCCTTGTCACAATGTTTCAAGACGTGCATGATCCAGCCAATTTTTTTTTTTTTTTTACTATTTACTCGGATGATCCTCCTATCTTGGCACTTTTTGTTGTCTTTCTTTTAAAAATTCCGGAATAAAATCCAAACAAATCAACCAAAATTTTTGTTTTTTACCCTAGCGTTCCTGCAAAGGAGGAAAAAATGCATGGAAAAATATATTGCCACTAATGCTGACTTTGTCCCTAGAAGCAGAACATGGCTATGCATCAGTGTTACCCTTCGATAGTGACTATTCCAGAAAGAAAACAAAGGCAGGCACGCTGGCCAGAAAATCCCAGAATAACAGGTAATGGATGTACCGTCTTTTTCCACAGTGAATTGGCAACTTTTCCTATATGTCTAGCTTTATGTGCAGCGCATAGATGTATAAAAATAATAACTAATCCCGTGTCTTAGTTCCCAGTAGTCGCCATTTTTCCCCTGTATGGGCTTGGCTCTGTTTTGATCTCTCATATAAACACTGCCACGCGTACACCATCGCCTTAGCACTCACTGCCTTTCTAAACCATCTGCACTCACGCTTCTTCCCCTGGTTTGTTAATGGGTGTGGGCGCTTTGATTTCCTATGTATTTTTAAAATAATCATCAAAATCCTGACTTCCCTTGCATGACACTAATTCCCTCCCAGTCCTTATTTACAATCTCTTTATTGCTGCGAGATCAAATGCAGCCCCCAGTTGCAGTGTAACGCCGGGATCTCCATGGGGGGAGGGTGGTGGAGATGGGGAAAGGAGGGAAAATGTATCTCATGTAGAACTTGGATTTATGTATGTATTTTAAAGTGTTTCGAGTGAACTTGACCTTTCCGGAGGGTCTGCTACACCTTTGCTCTGGTCTGTGCATCGCCTGCACGAGCGAGTCCCTCTGCATGCAGTGAATTACAATGCCTGGTTACATTATTATTATCAGCTGCCTTTTGTTTGTTTTTGTTTTTTCTTGCAGCCAGTACCTGTTCTATGATCACCCTTAGCTCAAGGTTTTCTGCGCAGCCTCCCTGCAGCTTGGTTTGGCTGACCAGGCAGTGCTCAGAGTGCACTGTCTACGTGCAGAAGGCTGTCTTAAAGAGACAGCGTCTCCTCTTTACGTAGGAATTCCTTCTTTTCTTGCACTTTATGCTCTTACACACACACACAGACACAAATATGCCCAGATGGTTCCCTCCTTCTCCAAAACATGGGTGCTCTGCTCTTTACAAAATGACTCCTTTAAAAAAATTGTTTATGATGAGCCCTGCAGAATAGCCTAAAATGAACAAAACTTGCCCATGACTTATTTTCCAAATGAGGAAAGTTAGTCTGATCGGGCCAGTTCTTTGATCTCAGTTACTCCAGCGTAAATCCTGCACAACCCCAGTGCAGTCAACGGGATTACTCTGGATTTACACTGGCAAAATGGGAAAGCAGAAAACAGCCCAGTCGTGGATATTAAATTTTGAAAATATTAACTAAACAAAAATCAGGCATCTCCCTTAGAAACATACAAGATCACAACGAGCTATGCTTGCAGCAACCACTGCAGAGCAATGTGCTTGAACACAACTGAGGGAATAGAGGGTGTAAATCCTTCCCTCCCCATCCCTTACTCCAAACAGCGCTGATACTTCTGGGGATATAAATTCGGGAGGAGGGGGTAATAGTTAAATTCATGTACAAAGATAAAGATCAGTTCATTTTAAAGGGGAGTGATCAGGAATCACAGGGGTACCTAGATTTGGAGACACTTTTCATCTCTGTAAATCATTTATCTCTGTTAATTTTTCCATAAAGTAACCATATTGTACAAAGGCAGTTAATTTAAACAGAATTCTTAGGGTTTCTAGTTCTAGAGTTCATGGACTTGTTCTGATCCTTGTTTCTTGTATGCAAGAGACAGAAATCTGTATTATTTATGGAAACATTATTCCATCATTTCCTTTCTTGGGTTTCTCGCTGTCCACAGCAAAACAGTCATTTGTTTGAACTGTAAGCTGCTTTTAGGAATTTTTAGCAGAAAATATGTAAATCTATCTATTTCAGCAGAATTGAAAGATTTTTTTGTTATAGGTTTGGTAGCATTATTTATCAAAGCCAGAGCACACAATACCACTGTCTGTCAGATATTTCTCACAATTTTTCCCCTCACTCTGATTCTTGTCACGCACACAAAAATGCTTTTTAAAAAATGCATAATGATCTTTTTATTATTTTCCTGCCAGCTTTATTGGTTTTAGACAAGCAAAGGCTCATTCGTACCTGGGTAGGGCAACACCTCTGGAGAAGTAGGGCCACAAATTCAGTTTTCATGTTTAGTTCACCATGGATATTTGTCCACCTCCTAAGGAAAACAACAACAACAACAACCTGCCGCTGGGCATACCTGACAATCTCTCTCTAACATAGACTTCTGGCTGCAAATAGCAGGATGTTGTGATAAGGCACATAGGCAGAGCCGTGTGGGCAGTCCTGCATTGTGCTTGCCTACAACATGCAGTTTTGTTTCAAATTTAAGTAACAGGTTAAAAACAGGCATCTCAACCTATGAGCTTATGATCCCAAATTCAAATCGCACCGCTGCTCTTATTTGTATTGGGAGCACAGGTGCTGGAACTAGGAGTGCTGGGGGTCTGCCGCACCCCCTGGATTGAAGTGGATTCCATTATATGCAGGCTTTATAGTTTGGTTCAATGACTCACAGCACTCCCACTATAAAAAATTGTTGCAGCACCCCTGATTGGGAGCTAATTGAATGGTTATTTGGATGTTGGATCACAGCCTCAGAGAGCATAGAATGTGAATGTAATGTTCAATTTGATCATGCAATCAAATCTTTATAAGCAATTGAGGGATTAAGAGGGGTAGACAACTGGCCAGAGTTTGGAGGATCCTAGGGGCGAGCGGAAGGGGGGGAGAGGGAATTGCATAGTGCAAAATTGCAGAACGTTATTTTTCAGTAACTTGGTTATTTCTAAATCCTGTTTCTTCCAGCAGTCTCGGCAGGTTGGAAAACTAACCTTTGCATGTGTCATTTGAGCACAAATAAAAGCACACAAAGAATTGTTTTTAAAGCCTGAAAAGCATCTCTTTCGTGCATGGATAACTCAAAAATGGGGCACACAATTGTACCAAACTTAAAAAAAAAAATTAGTCTTTGGACTGAGAACAAATATGAAAAATTTCCTCTCCCTACACCCCAAAAAAGTTACAGGCAACTGGGGACACACGTGCATATGGGGGAAAGTGTTTCTTCAGCCGTAGCTGTGGCCATTACCAGAAGGCTATAATTAGACAGTCCATTGAAAGAGTTCATAATTTTTACATTTTTTGTTTGCTGATGTGTTTGTTTAAATATTACTTGGCAATTTTTAATTTTATGTTGATAGAGAAAACATTTTCATGTTACTGTGAAGGTGGTAGAAAATGCTGCTTGATGCCATTTTTGCCCTATCTTTGTATAATATATATTAAATGTTTTTATGATGAATTGATTTATAAATTTCCTTTTATGATGTGCAGTTTCTTGCCCTTGAATCATATATGTGTGTGTGTGTGTATATGTATGTATGTGTTCCCACTTTACACAAAACAGATTTGAAAGGGTTTTTTTATGTAAAACTTCTTTGTTTATATAGCGTTCTCTCCTGAGATTTGGAAGTGTTCTCTGCAGATGATTATGACGAAAATCCCCTAGTAGATGAAATTGGATTTTTGTTTTCCAATCTGAATGGATGATTTGAGAAAGGCACACGTTTGTAATTGATTTTCCGGGGGAGGGAAGGTAAACCCAGGTCAGCCCTTCTTGTAATGGTGATAACTAGACAGTATTTGGTTGCAGTGCACCAAATGTCTCCTCTTGATAGAATAATAACACTAGATCCTAAAAGCAATACAGTGGAGCTCGTAAAAAATCTTGCTAATATGCAGTTAGAATAAAATCAGGCTAGAAAAAAAGTCCGATTTAGTAGAGTTGTGTCTTGGAGGTTGTAATGTTAAACTTTCAAATGTCTTTCCATCGAGTACAATGGGTGTAATGAAATGTCTGCAATTTGTTCAGAGGGAATATTTCACAGAAGCAGAAAGTCAATGAAGTTCAGAAGATTACTTGGTTGCAGAAAGTTATTTGTTAATAGGAATTCACTGTAGCTTTCAGATAATTGGAGCTTTCTTGTTTTGTTTCCTGTTTGTGATGCCGACTTTAGAGAGATAAGCCTATACATTTTAGTGTTTATATAAGGGGCAAAACCGGTAGCCTGAACTGACCCCCTTGTGGACAGTGACCCACATCACACTGCCAGTACATGTAACAACTAGACAGACCTGATTCTCAATTGCCTTGTACTTTATGCAGTCTCTTATCATTGTGAATAGTGGGTGTAAAATGCCCATTGTACCTTTACACGAGTGTAAAAGACTGCACAAAGCAGCAGACAATCAGGCCCAATCTGTGTTCTGTGCCCATGAAAAGATCAGAAGTAAATTAATACGCAGAGTGAAATCTTAGTGCTCAATGCCTGTCTATTGGGTCACAGTTAAATTTACTGGCAGAGCAGGAAATGGAAGTCTGTGAAGTAGCCTGCTTGGCCTGTTAATTTAGGAGCTGATAAAAAGGAGGGAAAATGAAAGCAAAACTTAGGTTTATAAATATCCCATCTGCATCTGTTGAAACTAATCAATATTTGATAATGTTTTTATGCCAATAAATAGAGTTGTGCACAATGTACTTTGCCCTGGGGAAGGGATACATGTACCAAAGAAGGTGGTGGGTCCAAACGGGATGATGTTTCAAAGGAAAACATTGTTTAATGTCTCCATTCTTTCGTTAACATTGCACGTCTGTCACTGCAAACCAGTCTCTGGCCCCTATCTGGCAAGCTGCTCTTTGCAGACTAGAGGTGTGTGAAATTGTTCAGCCAAAACTTTCTTAGCCAAAAAATGCAGATTTGGGTCAACTGAAACATTTTGTGAATTCGTGTTGACTTTGGTGAATTGTTTCGGTTGCAGTGGAAAAAAGAAAAAACTTCAGAAATGTCAAAAGGAACCATTTTGACATTTCTGAAATGTCTCATTTTGATTTTTTTTCCAGGCTAGATTCACACACCAAAACCAGTAAATGTTCCCCTCTTATAACCATTAGCCCGATGCTTAGGGCACTCACCTGGGATGTGAGAGCCCCAGGTCTGAATCTCCACTCTGGAGCAGGGACTTGAATCCTAACCACTGGGCTATCAAGTCATTCTGGCCCAAAGACTATTAAAGTATTTCATATAAAGTGTCACAGCTTCAGCAGGAGAGGCTGAGAGACCCACCCCAG